AGTAATTATGCTCTGAGTCTCTTGATAAGGGAACATCTCCTCAGTGAAAGGAGATGTTGCTGTCATTATTGAGCACAGGTATCAGTCTTGTCCTGCCATCCCACTCAAATAAAGCATCAGTAGTTAGTCTGTTAAAATCTACTCTCACAATTCTCTATGAGCAGAACTCCCCAATGTGAAAAAGGAGACCACCTCTATATGCCCTTTTCCATTTTTGGGGAAGATTGCCCACAATCATAGACAGGTATTTTATCCTGCCTGTAAAATGACATCTTGTAATAGTCTCTTATATGATGTAATTATACCTTAGTTCATGTTCCATAAAATGATGAAATTCAAACTACTGCTGGGAAACACCTTTCTCTTATATTATAACTGAAATGCTTCCTAATAATACTGAGCTATAGATCACGGTCGAGTTAAAAAGAAGTAGTGAAATGGAAGGAAGGGGAGAAAGTTTCTGGAATGGTGTAACTGGAGATATGAGTTGTCTTAAAGCTCTAGAGCGGGTCTGTGGAGACTCCTGCTGCCTTTGCAGGAGTGCAGAATGCCCTGATGAGGGTCTAGTCCTGATACTGCTGTAGCTGTGCTTATGATCTGCTCCAGCACTGGAGATGTTTGTCTTTTATGTACATATTTATAATGAACTAAAAAATTATATTAAATGAGCCATTTACCAAGGATCTCAACAGCTGTGTCCTGAGGAGAAAGTAAACTCTGAAATTTTCTTGTTAGGCTCTCTATCAACTTTGTAACTAGGCAGCTGTTCCAGCTGATGGAAGATAGAGGGATCATCTGGTAATTACTCCTCCTGCTGGAGCTGAAGCCAGGCTGAGCAGGTGTTTTACAGCTCTTTCCCTTTGCAACTGAAGGAAAACTCAGTCTAGTCCGAAGGCCAGAGAGCACTTGTTTTCTGCTGTGTAATTCATGTCAGGATGTTTCAGTATTTACAGAATAAAAATAAAACAGTGCTCAAGTTGAAAATATCCACCAAAAAAAGCAGAAATCACAATTTAGTCTCACTGATGGTACAAGATCTCTGGAATTATAGTAACACTAATCTGTGCTCAGTAAAACCCAAGGGTGCCTTTAGCTGACCAATAAGCAATTGATAACCTTGCTTGGAGAGCAAATTAGTTACACGAATGAAACTGATATGCTTGAAATGCAAAATCATAGTGTAAAATAGTATTTAAAATAGCACCATGATTCTAAATAGGGAGTGAGGATTGGTGATACTCTCTTGTGAAATGCAAGTAGTCATGGAGTGCCCTAGAACTCTGCTAAACAAGAGAGCTTAGTAGTCAAATTCTGGATGAAAAGGAGAGAGGAATTCATCACTCTCTGGCAAGAAGTCCTAGCTCATAAGAAAGCTGCATAATTAATGCTAGATATTTTAAAGCCATGATTTGCAATTTCTATGTGATCTTTGGAAAAGGAAAAATGTACCCTGGCAATATTCCTGAGGAGGTAGGGAGGGCACCCAGTGAGACTTATGTATATTAAGTCAGAAATTAGAGCCAGGGATCTGAAAGATCCCTGATATACGAAAAGGTTATGGCTTGTCCTTCACTGGAAATTATGTGAGCTTATTTGAGAATAAGCAGAGACACACAGAATCTGCTAAGGAATTGAAAGTTAACTTACAACCCTAAATGTAGCAACTGCTGAGAACCAAATTAAACACTTTGATTTTGCTTATTTTTGAGTTTAAAAAAATGTTTCCCAACCACATATTTTACAGTTGAGAGGGACATTCATGCCAGTTCTCCAAAGATACATTATCAGAAGAGGAGCTCCAGATGTGGCTGTTGTTCTAATCAGAGTTAACTGACATCTTATAAAAGCCATCATCTTATGGAAACACCTACATATTACAAAGCTTGGCTCTCTCAAGAAGAGAGCCCCAGGAAGTAGTTCAAGGCTTCTCACTCTACTAGAAATAAAATCAGCAGAGGAAGTGAAAGAAATATAATTAGAGAACAGAGTCTTGAACCAGACAAACCCTTTTGTCCTGTATGCAAAGTCTACTGGGAAACTGCAAAGTTGTTTACACTAAAAATTCAGTACCATCTAAGATATAAAATAAAACTGGAATCTGTAGTTCAGGTTTTCATAGGCACTTAATGGATTTAGACCTTTATGTCTTACATTTCAACAAATCAAATGAGTACTGCCAACTCTTGTGCTTTGATTATTAGACTCTCACTATTTGGTGTCTCCTGGGAGACAAGAAAACATGTGAGAAGATAAACTTTCATCTAAATTTATGATTACATATGTATGTACTTCTGTTTAAATATGTGACCCTCTTGGCTGTGAAGAAAACCTTGAAAAGGGAAATCTGAATCCATAATTAGGTAGACAGAGAACATTTGGTGAAAGAACTGTCAGTACTGAATCATTTTTCACATTGCTTTTATTGTATGCCTTCCTTGCTGTCTTAGTAAACAAAATTAATCTGCTCTGCCCTCTGTCCTGCCAATGTCTAGACGGTTACTGGTAGCTGCATTTCCTACTTTTAACAATACCTTGTTATTGTTTATCTTCTTTATCTTTAAAGAGGTATCTATACCTCTTTATCTTCTGGTATGGTTTCTTCTGTGACTTCAATGTAGGTACCAGTTGTTCCTCACTGGCAGTTGTCTCTCTAATGGTTACAATGTGGTACTATCTTGCCTCCCAGAAACCAGGGAGCTCTCAGAAGTTTTAATGCAGCATTCATCTTCCAGTAAAATCATTGAGTGCTCAAATACTTTCATGTACAGGAATAAATTCGTTCTCTTTCTGACCTTTTCTTTCAGATTGTTTTTTCATGAGTCAGACCTTCTCTATTTTCTGCAAATGAAAACTTAGAGTCAGAAGTTTTACTTACCAAATCCCCCAAAACCAAAGAAAATCAAATAAAACCAAACAAAACATCCCAAGACTTTTTGTGATAGGACCCAGGTAAAACAATTCAGATGTGTCTCAGCTTTCAGCGAGCTTGATGTAATAGCTTGAGGTATGGACAGTCTAATTTATTTTCAGTGAAGTTTCTTTTATTCTCTAAAAAATATTCTGTGCATTGTGTGACCCCCATTGAGTATGAGAAGTTGAATGCATTGCTCTGATATAACAAATCTGGCTAAGTATCACAAACACAATTGTAACTAATAGCTGACCTGACAGTCAAGACCAACACTAGTCTGACCAGCAAAACCTCAGAATATTCACTTCCTGACAGGACCCACTGATGTCTAAATAAATGTGATGCTGTGACCTGATCAGATGATGCTAAAGCATCTTAAATTCAAATATCCTGGTAAGTCCTCCCAGGAAGTGACTAAAAGGGAAAAAGTTCTAAGTAAGCAGGAAAAGGAGAACTCTTCCCTAGATAATGTGTTTGTTTTTTTCAATGCAATGCTACTTGGATCATGGATAGATTAAAATGAGTCCTTCAAAACCACTCTCCTGCTTTCCATCTAAGAATGGAAGTTGAAGTCATGAAAGGTGCTTACGTGCAGAATACTTAGCTTGAAGTCAGCATCAGCAGTCCTGCTGGTCAACTGCTCTACTGACTTGCAGGAAAATGGTTCTGGCCAGGGGCCTTATGCCAAACTTTGTGCAAGAGGCAACATGAAACAGTTTATAGGGACTATTGATTCTGTTACTGGTAGTGAGTTGAGTGATTTACTATTAAATGCCAGGAAAACTTGATTGAGAAGCTTACTCATCTGAAAATGAGTCAGGGAAATTCCTGTGGTGCGTACTAAGAGTGCAAACTGGGGATTCCTACGGCAAAGAGCACTCACGGCATGTATTTTGATATTACATTTATTGCCATTGCCGACCGTGGGATGAGAGTAAAAGGAACATTAAGGTTGCTTAGTTAGAATTAATGAATACATGACTAATGTCACGCAACGGTGTTCTCATTAATTCCTTGGTTAAAACTGTTTCTTTCGGTGGAAATTACCAAGGATGAGTCACAATCAGCGCAGCAGAAACAAACTAAGGAGCAAATACCCATCACTGCGATGGCCTTTTGCTTACAAGAGGAGGGGTGGGGAGATGTTTCTGTGCAGCCGCTGTCCGCGGGCATCAACCCTCTCTGCCGGGGCGTGCCCGCCTATTGCCTGAACTTTGAAGTTTTCCGGATGCGAAGAGCATAGAGCAGAGAGCATGCGAAGAAGGGTCTGACTGGCGATGTCGTGTGGGTCGTGTGCTCCCGTCACCAGCTCCCCCCGCGACGGGGCCGCACCTGCCCGGGGAGGGGCGGGGAAGGGCTGCGGCCGCTCCCGTTACCCGGCAGGGGCCGGTGCGGGAGCCGGAGGGAGCGCACGGCCCTCTCCGGGAGGGAACGGCAGAGACCCCGCGGGGCAGCCCCTCCTCCGCGGGCGCCACCGCGAACAGGGGCGGAGGCGCGGGGCCGCCAGAGACACCCCGCGCTTACATAACGAGCGCCTCCGGGGGCCGCTCCGCCGGTGCCCGCCGGTCCTGCCTCCGCCCGGCCGGAGGGCGGCGGACAGACCGGAGCCCTCCCGGCGCCTCTGCCGGCCCCGCTCCCGCCGCGGGCACGGACCGGGCAGCGGCTCCGCCGCCTCAGCGGGCACACGCAGGGCGCATGCGCCTGTCGGGCCCGCCGGCGCGCCGGGCATGCGCGGGGGCGGCGGCCGGGCAGCGTTCGGGGGCGGGCGGGCGCGGGCGCTGGCGGAGCCCGAGGGGCAGCGGCCCCGAGCCCCGCGGGGCTCCGCCGGCGGCCGAGCGGCTCCCGGGGCCGCCGGGGCGGCAGCGCCCGAGCCGCGCTGTGCCCCAGTTTGTGTCCAATCAGAGAGTGCAGCGCCTGACACCGGGCGGGCGGCAACGCGTAAACAAGCCCCGGGAACTCCTCCGCCCCCTGCGCTCCTCCGCGCCGCTCCCCGCGCCGCCCTGCAGCCGCCCCGCCCGCCGACAAGTCCGGCGAGGCGCGTTCCGCCGCTCCGCCGCCCTCCCTCCCCGCCCGCCCGCCCAGCCGGCGCCGCCCGCGCTGCCACACGCACCCACTCCCGCACACGCCCGCGGTGCCCGCGGCCTCTGCAGGGGAAGGTAAGGGGCGGGCGGCGGCGAGGAGCGGGTGCGTGCGGGGGGATCATGTGTCATAACAAGTTGTTGAACGTGACATTGCTCTCGAACCGCGGCGGCGGCGGGCGCGGGGCCGCCGCCGAGTAACTTTGTCCCGCGATTCGGCGCCGAGCAGGAGCCGGCCGGGCAGGGCTGAGCCGGCGGGGCCGGGACCGCGCTCGGGAGGGGCCGGTGCCGATCGCGGTGCTCGGGTCGCCCGGGGGGGACGGTGGGGTGACGGGCGAGGGCTCCGCGTCTGGCGGCTGCTGCGGGAGCCGCTGCCGCCCCAGCGAGGATTTTTCTAGCAAGGCGGCAGGGCGGGCAGTGAGCGAGGAGCGGGTGCCGGTCCGGAGCATCTCCTCCCGCGGGCGATTATGCCCGCGGATGCTCCGTGGCGGTTTTGGCTCGCTTCCGGCGTGATTAGCTCGGCTTATTATGTAAGATGTCACCGAAGGAGGAGAGGCACAAGCCCTCGGTGTGGCGGAGCGGGGGACGCGCCGGTCCCGCCGCGCCTTCCCAGCTCCAGGTACCGGAGCAGAGGGAGCAGCCCCGGCCCGGAGCGGGCGGGAGGGAGGGATGGGGAGCTCCCCTCCCTTCGCAGCCCGCCGCTGGAATACGGCTGCTCGTTTTACACGTGGGTTGGGTGTGTTCCCCATTTGAGTAGGAACGTAACCTGCTCTGGTTCCTCTCCCTTGTTTGATTGCTTCTTTTCTCTTCCAAAATGAAAAATAAACATTTGAGCATAAAAAAAGTTTAAGAACTTGATTTTTTGCTTTCTTTATGTACATGTTTAGTATGTTACCATGATCTGGAGACGATTGAATGAATCATCAGTTCCATGGAATAAAAGCAAGTGAATCATCTCGCATACACACGCACAAAACTGAGAGGGAGCGTAGTTGTTACCGTAGACAGTGAAAGGTTAGTGTCAGTTTCTGATGTGCAATGGGATGGCAGGAGTATAGACAGTGCTCAGAAACCCGGCAGGTTTCCTGGGGCTGGTTTGTGAACTGTGAAAGTTTTACAACATTGAATTGCAGTTTTTCTGGCTCAGAATTTGGATGGTAACCGCTTTCAGTTATCAACTTGCTACCCGTTATTTTAGCCAAATTCTCAGAAGGGGGATGTAAATGTTAAGAGCTTAGTAGCTGTGTTATTCGAAGTGTATTAATTTAAAGTAAAATTTAAATGAAAATGAAAAAAAATAGTGTCACACAGTGTTCATACCCTGAAGCCAGAGACAGATTCCAGATGCTTTTAATCTTTGTTTTGTTTTTGCTTAGTTTTATTAAGCACAAAAAGTCTCGGTTAAAGTAAAAATATGTATTTTTAAAAACTAAAGCCAGTTTATTTAATAAACACACTGGAGTTGTACCTAGATAGACTTCTGTTCCTCATCCTCTTGCCTGTTGCTCTTTTAAATGGGATTGAGGCAGGATCCTATATATAGTTGCTCTTTCAACTCCAACTTGCTTCCAAAGGGGAATTTCCATCCTCCACGTTTTCTTGACACATCTATCTCTCCCTAGAGCTATAGAAGGCATAATATGAATTTTACAAGATTAAGTCCTCTTTTTTTCTCAGCATACCTGCCACTGGTGAGAAATGAAGTCACTCATTATAGTGAGGAGGTAGTGATTTATGCATACAACCGCTTGGTTTTACAGTATAGAAGTATGTGAAGATCTTTGTATGTCTTGCTGGTAAACCGTTCTGTTTCCTGTGGCATCCTTTATCTCACTGCCTATGTTTTGTACCTCTAGTCATTCTCTAAATAAGAATGGAAGACTAAATCAATCCCAGAAAGGGTCGGTCTGGGTATTTGTCACTGTTGGGGAGAAAGGATGTTAACATTTTTGATATCTGGATCTGTACACCAGCACTTCATAGTTTAACTACAAGATTGGAGAAGCTAAGTTTGGGAAACCTCTGTTACTTCAGGGTTCATTGTATTGTTTCAACACCTCACTATCAGAAGATTCTGAAGTTATCCAAGCTAAGACTGCACCGGAAAGTGAACATGTAATAGGGAATCTCTTAGGTATGTTGGGTGGTCAAGTTAACAAACAGGAAAAAATACTGGTTTATTTGTGCATTTAATTCAACAGCCAAATAGCATTAATCCTTTTATTTTGAATTTTCGTACATAGAAGGTAAAACGTACAGGATATGTGGTGTTCTATGTCCCAAACCTCAGCTGAAAGTAGTAAAGGAAATAATACTGAAGGTGGACTCGCCACTCTGCTCCAGCTGTTTGTTCCTGCACTATGTACACTCTGGGATTCAAAGAAGAAGTGAAAAATTCTAGGTTTCACTTTTAAGCCTACAGAATGTGCAAAATAAAGTGAGATAAAGTGTACTGACACAGACTAAGGCTAAGATAATAGTTGGTCCTGTGCAGTTCCATTTTTAGGATTGGTAAGTGCATTACTCTAGGATGCACAGCAGAACTTTGTGAACTGTGGAGGGGAATGCTGATAAAAGTGAATTGTCTGAACTTTGTATCTTGATTTTTGCTATGTTGGGGATATATAGGCTTTGTTCTTATTGTGGTCAATTTATTTTACACTGCCTTTTTAAAGAAAATATATTAACTTACAATCTTTCTGTGCTTTGAAAGACTGGTGTCAACAGTATCTTCATATGCTCTTCCAGCTGTTTCAAGTAGAAATGAATGGTTAACATCCCAGTAGGAAAACAAAACAGCCTTCTTTCCTTTTTGCAATTTGGTTTCAAGACCCTCTCTAGACATGCAGCAATCCCAAGCAAGGTTTTGAACTACTCCATAGAAAGACATATTGCTCATGTTGAACAAGGGATTCCTTTCTCCAACTATTGAAAACTTTGCACCAAGTGCACAGTGGCTTGGGGTTGTTTGTTCCCCAAATCCTCAGTTAAAAACATGTATGGTGGTTGTCTGGGAAGAAGTTTAATTTCTATTACTAGTCTCGATTATTTATAATACTAAGAAATAGTTGGAAAAAGTTGATACTGTATCACTCAGAGTTGTAGCTAATCTGTTTTTGAATGATGCTGGGTAGAGCCTTAGACATTTCTTACAGTGAAGCATATTTTCCTGACTATTGTGTTTTTATCTTCAATTTTTTCCAGTAGATGTAGTGTCATGAAAAGTAACAGCTTGACAGGCTTTGAGACTGAAGCCCATAATGAGCAGAGCAGGTGTAGCACTGGCAGCAGCTCCACTGGGCTGTAACAGGACTGTGTATATATGTAGCTGTGCGCCCGTGGGAAATATCAGTGTTACTGTCTATCTTGATTATTGCTTATAAAATAAAAATCGTTCACTGCCAAGTGTGCGATGCTTCTGGAATGAAAGATACATAGTATTACTTGAGCACTGTGGTCTCAACAGCTATCACTAGGAGTTCTTGCATGTGAAACAAATAATTTTGACTGGTTACCTAAAGCTGAAACCATTTATCCAATTATTAATAGTTAAATTCATGCACATCTCAGCAGCTTTCTTAACAGCAGACCAAACTGTTCATTTGCTATTGTGCTTTGGTCATCTCTTTCCTGTTAGGGAATAATTTTCTTCCTTTGTTTGCCATCAGTTTATATACGTTTTGAGACTTGCCTGGAATTAAATAAGTAGCCTGCTAGTTTGCCTTAATAATCCTACTCTCATAAAAGACCTGACTAGGAAAAGACAAGAAGACGTACTTTCTTAGAAGAGGTTTAAAATCAGAGTAAGTTATTGGGAGGATCTTCACTTCCTTGAGATACTGTTGTGTTCCTGACTGCTGCATCACAGAGAGCTTCAAGTTGTTGTAGTCTGTAATGGTTCAGGAACTGCCTTCTCAGTCATCTGCAGTGGCAGCTGAGTTTGCACTCATTGTTTTAAAGAGTGCAGCCCATGAACATGGAGCAATGACTGCTGAAGAACCAGGTGTCTGCACTGCAAACGTGCCTTTGGCAGCCATTGTGCACAGCTTCAGTATCGGCTCTTCCACAAGCAGGAAGACCACTTTGTAGTCATACCATTTCTACTCCAAGGAAATTCTTATCAAAAAGAACCCTTCCCACACACCCCAAATCACCAGTGGAGATGTACCAAGAAGCAGTGGTCAGACCTGAATGGTGAAGCTGTGATTTTTTTTCTTGATTCTTGGGTATGATCCTCAGTCCATGCATATTACTGAAGGCAGTGTTGTAGAATTATTTTCTGGCAGCTGAATCAGTAAGTACAATCTGATACCAGTAGGGAAGGCCCTAGTTTGTAATTGACATAAAATTGCTTGCATCCAGTTTGTTATTCCCATCTTCCAAACTCCACCCTACACGCCTGTTTCGCTCACCTGTTGTTACAGCTCAGTTTTTGTAATATGATCTCTTGGGGAAATACTTTGTTATTAATTCTGTATTTGTAAAATCACAGCACCTCATATTCTGGCTGGTTTGGCTTCCGGTCTCTATGGAAATAAGTAATAAGTAATAGCTTTCATTTTAGATCTTTTTGCCTGAAATCTTCACTGTGTTTCTATCCCAGTGCAAGGAAAAAACCAAAACAGTTCTCCTGAAGTTTTAATAGAACATTTGTTCAAAGACCAACACTAAAAGTAACTTATTACTCCAAATAAACAACAGTACAAATGAAAGAGAATAGCAAATCTAAATTCACATTTTTGTGACTCATGTGAAGCCCCAATGATAGAGACTGAATAAGAGATCAGTTTTGTTTAATATAGTTCAACTGGAAAAATCTCACAGGAATTCTCAAATGTGATGAACTTCTGTAAGGGACAGATTGGTCGTAACTTTCGTAGTATCTCCTGATTTTTCTTTTAAAAAAATAATTTGTGATTTTCTTGTGTAGCCAAGGCACTCTATAGTACTTGGAGTAGAGGTTTATTCAGTTGTGAACTTGGAATCACACAATTCTTTTTGTACCTGAGCTATCCTGATTCCCTTCAGAGAGATGAGGAGTTAGAGACCAATTATAGACAGATGAAATAGCTACCATTGACTTCTTCCATGAGGAACCAAATGCTGGGATTATAACTTAATGCAGAGGCAATTTATCTTCTCCTTGTAATTGCAGAGGTGACTGTACATTGGCACTATACCACAGTATAGGAAATACATTGATTTTCCATGTAGTGTTACATAATACATTCATGGTAATTTCTCTTTGCAGTGGTCTTTAATACTATTAAGGTTCATGGACTGCTTTTTCAGGTGTAGTATACTTGTTCTGTAGCAGGTTCAGTCAGTACTAATGAATTCCATTTTACCAAACAAAACAAGAAAGTACCAAACTTAGTTTGTAACAGCTGTGAACTACTAGTTGTATGATCATATTTTGATTTTATGACTTTTTTTGAGACAGTAACTTAAATTTCTCAGTGGCGGCAGCTGACAAACTACTTTGCAGAAGTAGAATAGCCCAGATTTCTCATTAGAACTGTAAAGTATTCTAATATGTGTTCATACACCTAGTGTGGATGTATGAGAATGCACTTGGGTTGATTCTTATGTTGTCATCTGCCTGTAGATATTTTCGTTTTCAGTAATTTTTAAATGGGGGCAATGTATGTGAATAAGAGCTTTTAAAAAAATAAACACAGATAATAGAAGACAAGAACATTGGGTGTAACAGGTGTATTCTGCCACAGTTTTTTTGTGAGTTTTACTGAGTACCTTGAACCATTAAGAAGTTCCTGTTAGGGAACAGTCTCGATTTCCAGTCTTGGCATTCTCCTGTTCGCTACATTTGTCATAGTCTGTGAATTTGTGATGCAGATCAAAATTACTGGTATGGCCCTAATTGCAATTTTAGCTTTGTCAGTCCAGGGATAGTGCTGCTGGCCTTGATCAATAGCAAGGCTTGATTCATGAAAGCAGTTCTCCAAGACTTAACACTGAGCTTCCCTGGTAGTTGCTGATGTAAGAATACAAGGTAAAACTGATGACATGATGTGTAACGAGATAACTAACTTCCTGAATCTGAAATTACATAGAAGACAGAAAGTTATTTTTAATAGCAGAAGACTTTGCTTTGTGCTTCCTGGTTCTGGTTGTTTCTTTTAACGATGCTGGTAGAATATTATTGCTTTGCTAATTCCATTTGGATTGGAAAGTCTGTTTATTAGATTATTCCAACATGTGGTCCAAGTCTCCAGAAGAGAAATTACCACTTTTCTCTTAGATGCAGAATGTACCAGGATTATCTGTTTACTTAACTTTCTTAGATATAATTTTTCAGATGACTTTTTGCATTGTGTTACGCCTTAAATTTACATCTTTGTGTACAAAGCACAGTAAAGTGAGGGAATCCAAAATTTAAATATTCTGAAGATAAATTTCAGTGCTAGTTACTACTGATCAGATCTGACAGAGAAATTCTCTCTGCCACAAAAAAAAGTAGTTGATCTTGAGATAAAAGTCTTAAGTGATTCTTAGAGAAGTGTTACCACTGATTAAAGCAAGTGTAATTACATTTATTTCCTTCCTCAAGAAGAATGGAATATGTAAGAAACCAGGCTCTTGATTAATTTCATAATGAAAACACAGTTCTTTTTTGAGATGAAAGATCATTTCTTAAATAGCCAGTGTGTGGATTGAATGAAGTTAAAGATGTTTCTTTCTTTCGTGGTTTTATGAAATTGTTGTTTACTTTTTTGAAGAATCATCAGTACTAGCTGCAGAGACAAAAGATCCTTTATACGATATAAATGATATTTTGAGTAAGTATTCTTGGTTGATTTTGGCTGTAGAATTTCCCTGCATACAAAGTGATTTTGAAGAGCTGCTTAAATCAAACCAATATTTTTCAGCTTTCCATCTTAACTCTTTTGATATATCATAGATAAAGTAAATTTTTATGCTTTCATCCCAAATACATATTTACAAAAGTACGGGTGTTTGGAGTTTTTTGTGTAGATAGTGATCACAGAGTGCCAATGGATTTATTTGCAATAATGTACTAAGTGATGGTGCTTCACACAGGCTAGTGTTTAAAATCTACGGATGTGTAACTCTTGTGCATTAATTGCTAAAAACTTAGAACATAAATTTACATGGGATTGGCCTACAATTCGAAATTGCCATTAATTGCAGAGGAGCCTTTCCAGTTAATTTATTGTGAAGCTGGATGAAACCAGTGACAGATTTGTAACAGAGGAGCTTTTCTATAACATCTGACTTCTCAAGGTATGATAGCTCTTATTGCATCAACTGATACAATAGGGAAAACCACACAAACTATTGGGCATACGAGCCCTTCCTCAGGTTTTGAACAATCACAGCAAACTATGAACTAGGGGTGCAGTTTCAGCAGACATCTACAGCTACTGCTATTGAATGAGGGAAGTGCTGCTACTATGTCTTATGCTGTGTGAGCCCTGGCAGTCATTAAACCCCCAAATAAATTAGGTTTAACTAAACCAGCAAGAAACTACTAAAAATAAGTTTTCTGCTGGTCTACTGTATTAAATGGACTTAGAGATGGATCAACAAGCTCCAGAGCTTCCCTTCTTTTTTGTTTCAACTGGTTTATTAGATCAGCTCTCCTTTCAGCTACTGGTAAGATTTAGGACAAATTTGGAATAGTTGCTGTGAGTTTAATTTAATTGTGGCAATTAAATAGCTAATTGAGGAAAAGTGTGGTTATCACCTGTAAAACAAAGGAGTTATTAGTATGGGCGGGAATTGTAAGATAGTGCTTCATCATGGGCAGATGGAAAACAGATCATTACCACCAGAACATTGAAGGCTTTAGCTGGAGTGTCACCACGCCGTAGAGACAGTATATCCCATTAAGTCTATTATTTTTGATATCTAGAAGATCTGTGAATACTCATTTCCATGTTTGACTTGGTGATCAGGGGTATGAAGTGAGGGATTCATTCTGGCACTACATTTCTCAAGCACCTCTGACATGTAAACATTTGCTAAGATCTGCCAAACATTGGACTTTTGGGTTTACAGTTTCCATCTTTTGGTGTGTGTAGGGGGGTAATATGTGATCACACTGACAGGCGATGTGCTGACTGAAATTTCCTGCATTTCTTACAAGTGACGACAGCTACTTGCCACGTAATTTTTACTGTGTGTTTTCAAAGGCAGTGTCTTGGGTCCCATGAATCCACAGTAGTATTCATAAAAATACATATAATTTAGAACTTTAGCTTCTTCTGATGAGAACTACTGTAACTTAAGCTTCAGTTTGTCCATTTGACTTCATGCCAGTGTTGAACATGACTGTAAATATAGGAAAGCCTAACCAAAAGTACTTCTTGTATTTACCATGGTTAAGTTACCATAGGCTGTTCTAATATAGCTAAAGATACGTAGCTAAAGATGTTTAGGCTGTATTCCTCCTCTAGAGTAAAGGCAGTAGAGCAGGTCTTTGCAGCATGCCAGTTTGAAGTACCTTAGGAGGTCCCTCCAGGAGTGAACTGCATTGCAATTACCTGCACCAGACATTACTGGGCTTAATGACTAAGAGTGTTCTTCAAAGTTGTTTTCCTGTGAGCAAGTAGGTGCTAAATATTTTCACTGGGGGGGGAGGGCTGGAGTTGCTGTCTGTGTAAACATATGTTTGCAGTCTTTTGTTTTTTAGGTTTTATGCTTGTGCTTTTCTCTGCAACACTTCAGAGTTAGCAAGGTTTCATATTCAAGGGTTTATTTTTTCACTATCTCTTTTTTTTTTTTTTTTTTGCATGTTCTTTCTTATCTCACAAACACAAGGAACTGATCGAAACTCCAGGTAGAAGATAAGTTTTGGAATAAGAAGACACTTGTGTACACTGAAAAGAAATCACAGAAGGATTGTTGAGAAGAATCTAGAGTACAAGTTCTGGTATGAAATTCTAAATATTTTCCTTGGAATTCAGGTCACTTGTCTGCTCTGGAAGACAAGCCTCACTTAGCATAGAGTGTAGCATGTAAAATAGTTCCACTGTGTCTGTGCTGACCAAGCAATGATTACTTCTGACTAGAAAAACCAAGTTTAAATGGGTTCAAACTAGCATAGCTCCTAGTCTGTTGTACGTGGTATCCACTGAAATATATGTCATGCTTTAACCAAATGTGTCTCTTATATATAAGAAAACTTTTTATTGTATGAAAACTGGCCATAAAGTCAGGTCAGCTTTCTAATGCCTGATTTTTTGCCACTGTTAAAAATGTTTTGAGTATGATTTTTTTTCTTTCTTAAGATGTAGGAAGGAAAACGATTTGTAAATACTATTGAGATGCATTCTTCAACCTCCACAATATAAAATCAAAAGGCAATTAATTTTCTAAACACTGAAGAGGTTGAAATATTACACACCTTTAAATAACATTGTATCAATATTCACCTGGAGAATACCTCGGTCTGTTTCTGACTTTGTATTTCCACTGAAAGCATTAGCAAACATTCCATGCTTAATTTAAGGGCCCACAGTTTGAATCCTGTGCAGAAATTCTGAACTTAATCCTGTGAATTTGCACAAAGCCAGAAAAAAGGTCTTTCACTGAAAATCAGATAGTTAAATTAGAAAATGTTAAATGCTCTTTTTTCACGCCTGTAGCACTAAAATTGTGGTTTGTTTTGTTTTCTTTTTACTATTAAGTATTTCCAGAATTGTGTTATGTAGCAACTCATCAGAACAAAACCAGGTATACTTGCATTACAAGTTGACTGACTGGAATCAGTCACCTAATCCTAGAGAAATGGCTTGATTATTTTTAATCTTATGTAGATGGACTTATTGGTAGAATTTCAAAAGCTTTCTCTTTGTAAGGACAAGACAGAAGATGAGAAGGTTTCCATGTGTGTTTTCTAGGCCCTCATCCTACGTACTGTTATATAAAAACACCTGAAATTCAAGCTATGATCTCACTGTTTGCAAAGTGCCAACTTCAGTTCATGTGAAGTGCTGCTGCTAGAAGTTTGTTAGTTCTGTGTTCAGGGCGACCAGAAGAAAGGAAAGAGATCAGGGAGAAGAAAAACTCATTACAAAATTAGTTTAGGAAGATGACACAAAACCTAGAATAAGGACCACTGTATCAGTAGAAATTAAATGGAGATATAATGTGGCAATTTTCTTAAAGTAATGTAGTTGTGATTTCCCTACGACAGACACTTGATTCAAATGTTAGACTAGAGTCGGCTTAGTTGTGAATCAAAAAAGCATCACAAAGGAGATGGAAGCCAAAGAATGCATATGGGGGGGCTAGGCATTCATATCCTACCAACTCTTTCCTCGCTTAAAACTGCAGAAATAATTCTGCAGTGTTTAGTTGTTTCTCAGGGAAACAGCAGGAAAAAAGCACAGAAAAAATGGGAGCGATTCTAAAATTGATATATTCCATATAAATGTAATTAAGCTCCCTGGTATTAGACGAGTTCAAATAGAAATCTCATAGTCTTCCATGACCATATTCTAGATCTAAGATCTGAGATAATAAAATAGAAGAATAGGATAAATAGCAAAGGAGAAACCACTATGTAGAAAACTATTTGTAGGTTCTATTTACAGAGTGCCTTATTCTTCCATCACAAAGCACAGACTTCTAAAGGAGTTTTGAAGGGTCATGGTATAATCAGTTGCCAGTGTCAAGAGGAGACAAAGAATGAAGGTAGTCTTAGATGAATGGGCAAGGGGAATATCAAGCAGTTGTTGAATTACATTTATTCAGTGGTTGTTAATGCTGTGATCACCACTCATACTGAACTTGGTTCTGGCAATTGCACTTCAAGAAGGATGTAGAAAACTTGAAAAGGGTATATAGAAGACTTAAAAGAGTGATATAGTGCTTGGGACACATGCTTTATCATGAAAGATTGGGGGCACAGCTTAGTAAAAGTAAGCTAAGGTGGCACTTCCAGACAGTAGTCTCTAAATATTTTCTTTTGGTCAACTATATGGAAACATTTGAGATAAAGTAAGTGATATTCAAAACCAGAGTATTCAGTCTAGCTGATTAAAAGAAAATCAAATTACTGTAGCTTAGCAAATGAGGTAATAACAAACAGACTAATTCTGATTAGTATTAAGGATTTATATTTTTTTTAATAGTTGGAACTACTAATGATAGTTGTAGATTACCCAGCACTAGAAAATTTAGAAGGATGATTTAGTCAAAATAGTCTGTTGAACTTCATGATAAAATTAATATATGTATATATAAATTGTAAATGATTTTTTAATCTTCCCTTGTGGTGGGTAGTATTAAAAAGTATGTGGAAAATAAAGCAATCGTTATCCCTGTAGCTCTGTAGAAGATAGCCTTTGGATGTAAGGAGAGCTGTGTACTGTATTTGCATAACATGCTGGTCTCAAAGTAGGTTAGACAGCTGCTTGGCCATTTAGTTTTCTGTAAAAATACTGTTCCCTATTTGTTCTGTATTAAACCCTTCTCCATTTACATTTTTATGTTATTTAAAAATAAATATAGAAAAGATGTGTTGTTTTAACCGTTGATAAAAACAAACTAGCTAGGGTGCAGAATGGTCCAAGATCAGCGTTCCAGAAGAGTTCTTTCAGAAAGAAGAAAGTCAGACTTGAGTGAATGTCTCATATTTATTTTTCAAATAATAAGATTAGAGAAAATAAATACTGTGTGGAAGTGTATGCTCAGCTTCCCCAAAGTAACACAAGGATGTATGTTGTTTAAATAGAACTAACAGATGCTTAGGAATCTAAAGAAGCCAGGATTCCTATCTTTCAGGCTTCTCTTCATTGTGGCAGATTTTTTTCATTCCACTCATAGAAAATAAATATTTTGTTATGATCAATAAACATCCTTGTTAATAACCACATTCTTTAAGCCATTTTTTTACTATATTTCAGTGGTATGCAAGACAGAGCTTTGCTTTAGATGTACAGTAATCTTTAAGCCCCTTTAGGAGATTCTCAGTTTGCTCTAAGAAGTAGATTATACTAGTTCTGCAGTTCTTCAGTATTCATAGTATTTTTTATATGTGACAGTGAGGCAGTGTTTATTTTAAGAGTCCAAAGCCACAGGTTCAAATCCCCTTAAAGTCAATAGGGAAAATTGCTTGCAGTGACTTTTGACTTATATAGCCTGAATGTTTTGATTTCTATTTTACCCATAAAATTTATGTATGAAAATCTACTGCTAAGTGAGTTTTTTATTTTTGATGTAATATGGCATTTCAGTACTCAGTGAGAGGACATTAGGAATATTCAGTAATGCAAGTGGTGCCTTACTATGAATGCAGTAAAAGTAACAAGTATCAGTGAAATGACACCCAAAAATACTATCTAGTATATTTGTATCTAGTGTATTCCAAATCTAAAAAAATACTCAATAACTTGATATAAGTAACTGTCTGTTATGAGATGGTGTCATTAATCTGTATGGCTCCTTACAATGTATTTGTTGCCATATAAATGAAACATCTTCCAGCAGTGCAGTAAACAGTGTGCCTAATATCTGTCACTTGCTTTTCGTATGCGTACTCTCCCCAAGGAAAGAAGCATGTGCAGTACACAGGCATGTTTTGGTAGAATTTTTGGGTTTATTTTGGGGCAAGTGTGTTGAAAGCATTTATGTTGACAACATGTAATCAATATATAGTGTTACACAAAATTATTCTGTTTATGCTGATTGACCTATAGGCAAACTAGAGACTGAGTTGGATATTGCCTGGGTAAGTACTTCATCTGACACCCAGCCCACTGCCACACTCTTTCCATTGCTCAGAGATTTTGGTCATGTCATACAATGCACATCTGCATCTGGCCATGGAGAAATGGGACAGCATACACCTGGCTGTAAAACAAATACAGGCTTAGTCATGTCACAAGTGTGCATAAACCCTCAATACCTACTCATACATTTCTGAACAACATAACAGAAAGGTGGGAAATTACTAATTTTGTTGGTTATGTTATTTTTGTGGGTTAAGCCCAATAGGCAACTAAGCACCACGAGCTGCTCACTCACTCACCTCCAATCCCCTATGGAATGAGGAAGAGTAAAAGTAAGAAAACTTGGGGGTTGAGGTAAAAAAAAGTTCAAAAGTTTATAAAGTGAAGGTTAAATGAAAGATGACAGAAAAGAAAAAGAAACAAAACAAGTGAGGCAAAGGCAATCACTTTGTACCTCCCATAGGCAGATTGATGCCCAGCCAGTTGCCAAGCAAAAGGTAGCTAACTTCCCTAAACTCCTTTTTCTCCCTTGTTATGGCTGATCATGGTGTTCTGTGTCATGGAGTCTCTCTGATTAGTTCAGATCATCTGTCTGGTTGTGTCCTCTCCCAACCTATTGCACACTCCCCAGTCTTCATTGTGGTGAGTAGTGAGAAAGAGAGAAGGCCTTGATGCTGTGCAAACACTGCTCAGCAATATCTAGAACATCAGTGTGCTGTCAGCATTGTTTGGGTCAGATACCTACAAGACAGCACATTGTGAGCTGCTGTGAGGAGAGTTAACTCTGTCCTAGCCAGTACAGTTAATTAGCAGGATGACCTAGGAAGCATTTGAGACTTAAGCTATAAAAAGCTAGAGAGAGCATCTGGATAACAAAATGTTTTTCAGGAACAAAGAATACAGTATTTATTTTGTAGGTAACCTTGGTGCTTTTGAACACATATCATAGGTCTCATGGCAGAGGAGATGATAAGTATTTCTAAGACTGGGAAGGAAATCCACACATAAATGATATTCAAGGTACATATTTGTGTGTCCCAGTGAAGTTACTCAAGACTTGAAAGAATTGAAAAATAAGAATTCATGTTTTTCTTGGACAGAAATTTGTACTTAGGTCTATTTCATTCCTTTTACTGCAGAAAACAGACTACTTATACAGTTGTGTTCATTGCATAATGCTCAACTTTCTCAAACT